TATAGGCACCTGCCACAATCTCTGTGTACATGCTTTTGAACTTTCTAAATTTTCTTGAGTATTTTAAATATTAAAAAAAGACATGATTTTATAAAAGAACAAACAGCCATTTTTGATATATCTTCCTGAACTTTACATTGCCAGGATTTCTCCTCCTTTGTAAAACACAGGTTTGCTGTTGGCAAGCTGCTGCTAAGAGATAAATTGCTCTCCTACCTCCCCAGCTGAGCGTCATGTCTGGGTAACAGCTGCTTCGATAATGACTTTATCTGGTGATGGATGAATTCTTGCTTTACAGATGCTGAGATGACTTGGGCCAAACGAAATTGCATGCCTAGCTGTTCATTTCTCCTCACTCCACTCACAGGAGGTGTCAGAGAGAGCAGGCCCCAAACAGGGCAGGAGGAGGTGACATTGCCTTCCTCTCCACGGTAGCAAAGTCAGCCCCAGCCAAGGTGATCCAGGAGAGCTGTGTGCACCTGGCAAGTGCTCCCGTGTGCAGCTGTGCAGCCCACAGCGTGCGCTGCTGAGGCCAGGCCTCGCCCTGGCCCTGGTTCTTTCTCTCTGCTTTGTATCTGTGGTGATAGCATATTACGGTTTACCAAAAATAGATGGGAAGTGCAAAATCCAGTCTTGAGAAGAAATGTTCTTACTTCTCAAATAGCTACTACTTTGTTATGGGGAAAATGTTCAAAGCTGTTTATAAGAAAGCTCATGAATATTCCTTGTCACCCCATGGCAATTGAAAAGCTGAAAGGCATATATTAATATTGTGGAATCACAACTACACGTATATATGCACTTTGGTCTTTTCTTTTTCTGTCTTTGGCAATACTGACTAGTTTCATTTCTTTTATAGTACCCCATTTGTAATCTTTGTTGGGCTCAAGTCGCTCTCAGGAATTTGACTGATTGATTGAATGACTGATGCATTCAGTCTTCTTTAGAAGTGGAGCATCTTTGGCACAAGTTTAGCCTCTAGTCTTACTCTTCCTAAACTCATTGTCTGAGCTATTGCCAGTGTGATCAGCACCAACATGTGGGCTCTGGACAGTGGTGATCTTAAAATGCGAATCTAGTAGTGCTCCTTATCCAAGTAAAACATGTCAGTGGCTCCTGGTCACATAAAGAAACTTCTTGGCATGCCATTCAATATTCTTTACCCTCTATGCCAAGCTTATCTCCTAGTATTTTGTCTCCTTCATTGTTCTCTGTTCCAGCTATAATGTGTTCCCACTTTTTAATGCCTTATGCTATTGGAATATAATGATATTTTTATATAGGATGATACATACTACTTTCTCCCTGAATTTATTTTAAATTGTGTCACCTCAAATCCTTAATTCAAGAAATATACTAAAGCACTTCAATTTTCCATTCTTCCTTTGCCTCTCATGGTTTTCTTTCCCACAAAACAGGTCGAATTTGGTAGAAATGTAGTCAGTCCTGGGTAGGCATGGTGGCCCATACCTGTGATCTTAACACTCTGGGAAGATCAGGCAGGTGAATTGCTTGAACTCACGAGTTCAAGACCAGCCTGAGCAAGAGTGAGACTCTGTGTTTACTAAAAATAGAAAAATTAGTCAATCATTGTGGCAGGTGCCAGTAGTCCCAGCTACTGGGGAGGCTCAAGCAAGAGGATGATTCAAGCCAAAGAGTTTGAGGTTTTTGTGAGCTTTGATGCCACAGTATTCTAGCCTGGGGTAGCAGAGTAAGAAACTTTGTCTTTAAAAAAGAGAAAGAAAGAAATGTAGACAGTCCTTCATATCTATGAACTCTACTACTGGGGATTCAACCAACAGGGAATAAAATATTTGGAAAAACAGACAACAAAAATGACAATACAACAAGAAAAGTGATACAAATTAAAAATAATGTAGCATAACTACTAATTACATAGCATTTACATTGTATGAGGTATTATAAGTAACTTAGAGATGATTTAAAGTGTACAGGAGGATGTGTGTAGGATCGAAGCAAATACTCTGCCATTTTATGTCAGGAACTTGAGCATCCATGGATCAAAGGGGCCTAGACTCAATCTCTCATGAGTATGGAGCTCTTATGCTCTGCCAAAGACTCTACACTCATACCACTGTGATTAAAAAGAAAAGGAAGGGATGTGAAGGGGAGGGCAGAGAAGATCTACTCTTCTAGCTACCTCATTTATAAAATCAGTTATCCATTTTATAAGTGAAGTAAGGGGCTCACAGAGGTTAAATGATTTGCCCCCAATTGTAGTTTTCTGTTTGGAGAAGTCTACCAAATGCATGCTCTCTCATTATCCTACTTTATTATTTTCTAAAATCTGTTCTTCTTATCTTCTTGGTGCAGAAGTCATATGTGCTCCTCTTTCCCTAACCCTCACATTTAATTTGGTCTCCGCTTCTACCTCATTCTGCCTTTTTAATAACTTTACCCTCCTCCCCATTCCCATTGCTGGTACCAAAGTCTGGGCTCAAACGCTGCTTGCTTGGAACTGCAAGCAGTCCCCGAGTTACAAATATCCAACTGATACATGGCTCACACTTACAAACGGAGGCTATGACAGGTAATAGGTAAAAGTACCTGTTTCAATTTGCATTCAGATTCAACTTAAGAACAAACCTAGAGATCCTCTCTCATTCCTAACCTGGGGCCTGCTTGCATTTCAATAATCTCCTTGCTACTATCTCTGCATCCAATTTTTCTCCCACTTCGATCTCCCTCCCACGACTGTTTTGTCTTTGTGATATTTCTGTATGGCAAAGCTGACACTATTACTCCTTTTAATGCACTCTCTTTTGCCCTCCAGGAAGAGAAAGTCCTTTGGGAACTCTGTTAGGACTTTATGATTTGCTCCTTTTACCTCTGCAGTAATAGTCCCCTTTTCTCTCCCATTTGCATCCCACAGACCCCCCATTCTGAATGCCTTACAGATCTTGAGTAGCCCCAGGCTGTCCTGCCTCCAGGCTCGGTTTGTATGTACTCTTTGCTCACCTGGAAGGTTTGTCTCTTGCAAGGTCATTATCTCTTTTTCAAGATCTCATTTGTTTGCTCTTATTTTTTTGAAATGTTGGTCACAACTTCCTTTCTACTAATCTACCTCGTAGATATTTATACAATCCCATTTACCACACTGTGCTGCAACTTGTTGGTTTTATATTTAACTAAGTTACCTGACTGTAATTTCTCCAGTGTTAGGGATTTTGTTCTCACTTTTATTATACGAACATTAACGTTACAAATTTTGCTCTTGTGTTATTGGTGTCTTGCTCTAAGCACGTTTTGATTGTTGAATGAATATTGCATTTCCTCCTTAAATTAAAAGTTTATGTAAATTGTAAAACATGTTCCTAATTAAAACAAAATGGATGAAAAGTATGCATGTGATTCGGGACATTAAGTGCTTCCTTCATTATAAGAGCAGGTGGGCTAGATGTGCTATAATAATCAGAGGGTGGATTAGAATGGAATTGTGATAGATTACTTTTTCTTTTGCAATTACTATTAGCTTTCCTTGACCTTAAAAGTAGTCATTTTTAGTTTTTACTCAAGGGTTACACTTTTTCCTATGGATTCTGCACAAGTATAAGATAGGAATTCGAGTATCAGCAGATTTGAATTAAATGATTAGTTCTATTTCAGGTAATGCCAAATTGGAGAATGCAACTTGGACTTAATGAAAACAATACTCAAGCTTCCACTGCATTTTTGCCTTGGATTTGGTGAGTTGCCCAGGCTTAGAGAACTGCAGGCAACAGGTGTTGAACCTGAGGTGAAAGGCTAACTGTACCAGGAACAACCTTGGGTCATCTAGGAAGAGAAGATGAGGTGACCAAATACAGGCAGCAGTATCCATTCCCCAGGGAGACACAAAACGAAGGTGGAATGGCCACGGTACAGTCAGGGTCTCCCTGGGCCGAGGGAGTAGGGTCCAGGGAGTAGGAGACTGATCTTACATAGTGCCAAAAGGGTTCCTATTTCTATTAAATCCAACACAGCAGGATGCCAGAAGAAAGGATCACAGATGAACCAATCTCTTAAACCCAGAGTCCTAGAACCTTAGAGATCTTCACTTAGGTAATTCCCCTTTACATAGACTGGATGTTGTAACCCTTAAAAAACAATGTGATTTTGCTTTCTTTCTTTCAGCTAACAGCATTTTATCGTGATGACGGGTAGATTAATAACTGCTCCTGACAGGAAGGACATACATGTCAGTAACATTGAAGCCTCATGATGAAGGAATTGTTGAGGCGACACTCAGGTGAGTGCTCTGATGGGAAGAAGGATTCTCTGTGGATGACTATGAATTATGAAGGACTTTCCCTTGCAATTTATACAGTGCACTGGCCCATGTCGTCTCAGCCCAGGTCAATATGTAATTGCACATTCTAATGACGGGAAAGAGCAGTGACCTGGATGCATCTACCGCTTTTATGGTGAGTCCAGAATGAGCAGCACGCTTAGTTCTGCATCCCTCGCAGCCCTTGGAGTTTATGATCCTGATGATGCCTTCAGTGGAAATGACCTAAGAAAAATCTTTTGCTGGGCTCTGACCCTTAATTTATTAATTCACAGTTAGATGTATTTAGTTCTTTCAGGTCTGTGAGTTTGCATTGCTAAATATGCTCCCTCAGAGTTGTGAAGTATTTAATTTGACTAGCTCTATAAATTATATAATGGTAAGGAAGCGAAAAAGGAAGAGAGAGAGTCACGGTTCAGAGGCGACAATGTAAAATGAACAAATCCCACTTTCACACAGAGGGTTGGGTTTTCTCAGTGAGTTTACATGATCTTCTTAGAAGTAACAGTCTCTGCTGATGCTCAGAGCCCACAATGACCTACGGCAGTCCAGGCTCCCTGAGAGCAGTGTTTCTGAAGCTGACGTGCACCTAGATCACCACTTTCAGCAGGTTTTCTGGGGTCAAAGGGATGGTATTTCCAGCAAGCTCTCAGGTGCCAGTGACGGAGTAGCAGGGACCTAAGTCACCAAATCAAAATACCAGGTCCCCAACTCATCACAATTCATTTTATTCCACAGCATGTTTAAGGGAATGTTATTCTCAGGAAGATGTTTGGGATTAAAATAATTAAAAAAACTGGAAAGTACACACATTTATGTATCTCTTCTTTTCATTAAATATATATCTGTTTGGCAAAAATGTTAGACTCTTTTGTACAAAAACAAAGCAAAAAAAAAAAAAAACAAAAAAACAAAAACCTAACCCAAAACCCTTGCAAATTGTAAATACCTGTAATAATTACAATGATGTAAACTTGGATGTCTGACAGCGTGACCCTCCTGTGGAGCCTGTGTTGCTGCAGAACTCTCAGGAAAAGTCACACCAAACCCTTGGATAGCAACAGCCCGTCACTGAGGCAGTCTCGTGGAGATGGAGCATGAACACTGTTTTCACCAGTTGTGCTTTCAGCTAAGAGGCTGGGAGCGTGTGTGGAAATGAAGGCAGGTCTGGCCGAGAGCAGGGAGAGGAAATCCCAGACCAGCTAGCAAGGAGGGAAAGTGGGTGACGGTCACAGTGCAGATGCAAAGTGGGTGTGAGACCTGTGGACTGTGTGTCTGTGAGACCCGGTGCTGGCGAGGGCTACAAGAAGGTGGCTACTGACGCTCTTGGGGCAGCAAAGAGGGACAGGGTGAGGCCAAGATGGGGAGGGAGGCAGGAGTCTTGAAAGCAGATCTCAATTCAAATGGAACTGGAGGTATGAGCTGACTCTAGAGAGAAGGGCAAGGAGGACGCTAGGCCATTTCCTCCAGACACAGGCCTTGGGCACTTGCCTGGTGGGCAAGTTTGGGGGCCATCTGGGGCTGCTGGCTTCCTACTCCGGGAAGGAAGGGCTTGCCTGCTGGGGGCTGGGCTGGAGGGGCCCCTTGGCTCTCTGATGGTGGGCTTTGCTCATGTCCCACCAGTGGTCTGCAGCAACAGGAAGTGATCTAAAGCAGTGGAGCCTAGAAACAGAGCCAGGGAGGTGAGCAAGATGCCAGGTAGGGGCCGAGAGATGCCCGGGCTAGAGGCGCGGCTGAAGGAAGTGCTGACCCACAGCTTCCCTTCACCAAAGGGGGGTTCCAAGGCGAGGGTGTGTTTTCATTCCTCTCTCCTGTTAGCAGAGTTTCCAGTTTTGGAGAAGGCGTGTGCGGCCCGGCCACATCAGTTACAGTCGTAGACGAAGTCATAGTTGCTGGGCTCCTTGGGGATGGGCGGGGGCGCGTCTGGGATCTGGATGTTCTCCAGGTCCAGGAGGCGTAGCTTGATCTCCATGCTGAGCAGGGTGTCCAGGTCGTTCCGGGTCAGGTCGCTCATCATGTCCTTCCCGAGCAGCGCATTCAGCCCATCCGTCCAGATGCAGTACTGGTGGGAATGGAGGTGAAATCATTTTCAGTGACAATTACCGGAGAAGTAAAAATAGCTAGCATTCAGTGGATAGTAACAGGCACTAGGCTCTGTGCTAAGTGCTTTGCCCACATCATCATTTCATATTCACAACCTCCATATAAAGTTGACAAATCCGTTATCATCTATCTCGTTTCACAGGTGAGGAAACTGAAGTTAGAAACTGGGGAGAGGGGGTGGAATTTGAATTCGGGCAATCTAACTCCAATGCCTGGAGGCTTCCCTGCAAAGAATGCCTCCTTACATCACGGCTGAGAGTTTGAGTTCTCCATGACCATGCAAGATAATGTCTCTAACACCCACCCCCAAGCCATGTGCCTCTGACCTTAAGGCACTGGCAAATATATCCCAGCACTCCTGGAATCAGCAGCAGTCAAGCTTTTGGCTGCTTCCAGTTGTGTTCCTAGTCTAGTAGCTAGTCTCTGTCTGTCTCACCTGATTCCCAGCACTCCCAGTGACAGTCCCATCCCAGCCTAGGCTGGTGGTAGTCCCACCTTTGTGTTTCCTGACAAAAGGGCTAGAAAATGGCATTTTGTTGTCCAATGTCTGGCAGTCAAAATGGCTAGAATTATTGGGAGATCTTCATGGGAAGTGTGCTGGCTTCCTGTCTGGGGACCTCTTCTGTCTGGGTCTCTAATTTCCCAGCGTTTCTCTCCACATCTCTGGGTCCTGATCTCCATGGGACATCACCTGTATTGGAAAGCCCTTCAGAGTACCTACCTAAGAGTTTGGTTCTTCTTCTCTCATAAAATTAACCCTAGCCTTCTTAGACTAGGAACTCCTGAGGGGTGGGAGAAGGAACTGTGCCTCAGTTCTCTGAGGACCTGCCTTGCTCTTGTCAACTTCCCTTCCAGAGACCCAGGTGCTGCCAGAATTGTAGAAACCACCTTTGTTCCACTCATCTGCTGGTTCCCCCCCCACCCCAGACTGAATGACAGCCGCTGCTCTATTCTGCCTACTGAGCAGGTTCCCATGTTAGCACACACCCTAGACTTCTTCCTCTCCTGGTCTCATGGGGCCAAGTGACAATTCTAGACCCTAGTGAGCCTATCTTTTATACTGTGGCAATCTGTACTGTATTCTAGAATATGACAGTAGATCTCAATACCAAAGTACTAAAAATATATTACAAGCACTGTGTACATCTCCAATCATGAGGTGGTGGAAATCTATCATGACATGTGTCAGCGGTACACTTTCTAAGCCAAGGAGATGCACAAAGGGTGAGATTCATGTCTGAGGAGGCAGCACTGAAATCTAGGGCTTTGGTTGTACCTTGGGCCAAAGCATGGAACCCATGTAAACACTGGGTTAGTGCTGAGGGATGTTGGGAAGCATTAGTGTGCTCTCGAATACCTTAGCCAGATTCTGAACAGTCTAACCATCCACTGCCTCATAAATAACCTTGATAGAAACAGATACCTAGTGAACCTTGGAGATCCTGGTCTTGTAGAGTCTGGGATGTGGAGACTTTATTAACAAAAGATTTCCAGATAATTCTGATCATCTGGAAATATGTATGGGAATTCAATATTCTCAAAGGCTCCCTTCAGCTCCAACAGTTTCATGGTAAATCCCACATCCCGAAGAGTACTGCTCTTGCACAGAGCCTTTCCAGCTTTGGCTAGGTTCCTAGTACAGATTAATTCAACCCACAGCAACATTGCTCTGGTGCTTTTCTTCTGAGAACAGCAGGTACAAACAATTTTATTAAAAGTACAATTGACCAATAAATAAAAACCCTGCGGTAATGAATTTGAGTTGGAACTATCAGTATCAACTCATGATGTGTTTTATCTTAAAAAACATCATAACTCCTAGCCCCATTCCCCAAAAGACCTAAAAATAATCAACAACCAAGTATTAATAAGCACAACTTAAGCCCAGATCCTGGTTAGTGAATACCATTTCCTATTAAAAGTAGCCAAGGCTCCATAGGAGAAGGGCAGGAAATGTACGCGATGAACCCGGAACATCTTGTCATACTTTAATGCCAGAAAGTTATCAAAGACAAAGGAGTCGTGTCAACAGAACTTAGAAGCCAACCAGGTGGTGTTGCTGCATGTCCCAGATTAAGACAATCTAGACACTAATAATTATAATAACAGAAACATACTGAGACACAAACGTTTAAATCTACGACTCACTCAAACACTAGAAACACCTCACTGATCTTTGAAAGATGCTTACACATTAGAACCTTCAGAGCCAACCACCTCCCTGCACTGACCACCTTTTAAATTTGCATAGTCCAGACATGGTGTCCGTACAGTAGGCCTACTTCCTTATGTTGACCACCACCCTATGTTGAAGAGTTTGTTATAGTCCCTCAGGGGGCCAACTTACAGCGGTTCTACTACATTTTGAAGACTGGCAAAGTGAATCAAGTATTTTTCCTGCTTATCTTATACAAATTGTATCACTTTAAGGTAGCCAAATAGTTGATGAGACTGGTTTCTCTTCATATATCCTGTTTACAGAGGGTGGCCATAAAGTTCATGTACTATTTAAAATTGCACACTATTTTAAATTGCACGTGAACTTTATGGTCAGCCTGTATATGAAGAAGGAATGACAGAACTGGGACATCAACCTTTTGGAATCTCATTGGATCCCAGAGCCAGGAAGACACCACAAAAGCACACATGATTGGATGCTGTTAAAAATTGAGCCTGGAATTGATTAGTTCTCTAACTATTGATTTATAGGAAATATAGGAGACATGGGACAGATGAATATATGAAATGACAATGCAGGTTGTGATGGGCAGAATAGTACTGCCTTCTGAAGATGTCCAGATACTACTGCCTGATCCTGGGAATATGGCAGGTTCTGTAGCAAAGAAAATAAAGGTTGTATCGGCTGGCCTTAAAATAGAGAGATGAGATAATCTAGGTGGGTGATGTCATCATAGGGGTCCTTAAATGTGAGAGGAGGAAAACAGAAGGAGGGTCAGAATCAGAAAAAGGAGGTGGAGATTTGACCCCAGAGGTGGCTGGAGCGGCAGGATGCAAGGGCTCAATGTGCAGATCCCCTTGATGGATAGAAGCGGAACGGGCTAGGAGACATTCTCCCTTGGGGCCTCCAGAAAAGAACATGGTCCTGCTAACACCTTGATTTTAGCCCCGTAAGACCCACATCTGACTTTTGACCTCCAGAATTGTGATACAAACAGTTCCCAGGTTATGAACAAGATAGGCTCTATAGGTTTGTCCTTCAGTTGAATTTGTACATTAGTTGGAACAGGTACGTTTACCTATTACCTGTATCAGCCTCTGTTCCTAAGTGTGAGTCATAGTTTAGTTGGATGTCTGTCAGTTAAAGGATGCTTGTAATACGTTGTGTGGTTTAAAACTAACCACATTTGTGGTAGTTTGTTACAGCAGCAACAGTGAACTAATGTACAGAGTTATAATCGCCATCTAGATTACTGGCAATGTTAGGGGACTAACAATCTGTTTTCTTTAGTAAACAAATTGCAATGAGAAAAAACACAAGCTCATGGCTGTGAGAGACAGAGAAAGAGAGGATCCTATAGATTCAGAGAAACCTAAGGAAAATGCCAACCGACTGCAGTGTATGGATCTTATTTCCATTATGATTTGAACAAAAAATAGAAGGAAATAACCACAAGTGAGACAATTGGAGACATATGGAAACAGATTGCACATGGTGGCATTAAAATCCATATTAGGTGTGATAATGGCATTGCAGATATGTTTTAAAATCGACTGTTAGAGATGCAGGCGGGAATATTTACAAATAAAATGACATGATACTGGATTTGATTCAAAACAATCAGGGGTGGCAGCCAGGTGTGGAGGAAAGAGTGAGTGGGAACATAGGCGACCCAGATTGGCCATGAGTTGATGACTGCAGAAGCTCACTGAGGAAGGGGTGAGCTCAGGGTCTGTTCTAGCCATTCCTAGCTCCACAGTGCAGGAGCTCAGGGAAAGGCTTGTGGAGCAAGACTTCAGGGCTCAAATCCTAGCTCCCTCCCTCACGACTTGTGCGACACTGGACATGTTTCTTAACTTCTCTGCCCCTCATTTTTCTCTTTTGTAAAATGAGAATAGTATTATAGTTTGTTTCTCGTAGAGTTATGCAAGAATTAAGTGAGGTTTTATATATATAAATGGTGCCTGGTAGAGTAAGCCAGGCTAGTTATAATTTCAGTTGGCCCTTCAACATCATGAGCTTGAATTGCGTGGGACACTTACAGGTAGATATCTTTTCAATAAAAGTTACAGAGAGTGTGCCTGTCTCCTCTACCTCCCCTTCCACCTCCTTCACCTCTTCCTCCTCTGCCACCCGAGACAGCAGGACCAACCTCTCCTCTTCATTCCCCTCTTTAGCCTATTAAGGGGAAGATGATGAGGATGAAGACTGAAGACTGAAGACCTTAATGACGATCCATTTCCACTTAATGAACAGTAAACATACTTTTTTCTCCTCATGACCTTTTTTTTATTTGTTTAGGATTCAGTGAAGGTATAAAAAATTAGGTTACTGATTGCATTTGTTAGATACAGTCCCTCTGATAATTGTGTCCCACCCCTAAGAGGTGTGCCATACACCGTGACTCCCCACTCGCTCCCTCCTTCCTTGTTCCACTACCCTACCCCTTGCATTAGCTCTTCTACTGCCTTCACATTAGAATTGAGTATATTTGATTCCTCATGACTTTCTTAATACCATTTTCTTTTCTCTAGCTTACTTTATTGCATCATAATATAATATACAAATATGTGTCACCTACTGTTTATGCCATCAGTAAGGTTTCTGCTCCACAGCAGGCTATTAGCAGTAACGTTTGGGGGAGTGAAAGGTTATAAGTGGGCTTTCAAGTGCAGGGCGGAGGGGTCAGGGCCCCAATCTTTGTGTTGTTCAAGTATCAACTACACTATTCTTCTTTCTATTGTTGAGGTATTCAGTTCCGGGAGGCCTCTTTCCCCTCATTGATAAATGAGATTATCTGTAATAGAACTTTCTATTTTAGGGAGTGATTATGAAAGTAAAATGAGGTAATAGATAAGAAAGAGTTTGAAGAAATTAAAAGTATTCACAAGGGTATGTCATTTTTCTCTTCATTGTATCTCTAAGAAGTGGCAGATATGAACAAAAATCTGGCATTCCTAGAGCATTTGTCCTCACTTGGAATTAACGCACACTGGGGAAAGCAACCTTACATAGATTTAAAAAACATCCAAAGTGCTACTAATTTAAGTGGCTTTCTACACTGTGCACAACCACCATTTCATATAAAAACAGAAACAGTAGGACACAGTATCTATTCTCAGAAAGATGAAGACAAAGTCTTACCCTTCAACAAACTAAATGTCGAGTGACACAGAATTATATTTAAGCACCATTCTAAATGCAAGAATTGTGTCTCATCTTTTCTCTCTCTTTGGGATGTACAATTTTATTCAAAAGCTTCAAACCAGTAAAAACCCCATACCTAATAACTTGTAAATGAGCTCCGTGTCCTAGGAGAAATGGGGAACAAAGTCAGGTTCTATTAAAATGTTCTCTTCCTTTCTAAAAGCTGTTTATGCAACCACACGCCAAACAAAAATTTGAATGGTCTCATCTAAAAATAAGTTTCAAGCATGATGTTGGATTCCAGTTTACAAAAGAAAGTGAAATCAACCATAACTGCTACTTTATCTTACAAATTCATTTTCCTAGATTTATGCTAAATATTTTAAATATAGCTGACAGCATGCTTCAAGAAGAGAAACAAATTATACATATAACAAGATGTCAAAAAGGAATAAAAACATCTTGAAAATAAAATCCTAACAGCAGAGACAGCTCTAACCTCTTAAAATAGCTTAAAGAAACTTAGTAGAAAACCTACTTCATCAGATATTTTAAAGAATAGAGACTAGTTTATCTTGGGAAAATGCAGACCAAAAATTAAATACTCAATAAAAACCAAAGTTGTAAAGCAGGCCTCTTCTTCCTCTGGGTTAGAGATTATGCCTTTGCTGACTTAGAGGTAGTTGTACACTCTCCTCCTTTACCAGGAACTGTAGATTAAACTAGTAAGAAGTTGAACCTGGGTGGCACCTGTAGCTCAGAGGAGTAAGGTGCCAACCCCATATGCCAGAGGTGGTGGGTTCAAACCTACCCCTGGCCAAAAACTGAAAAAAAAAAAAAAAAACCAACGACCAATGAAGTTGAACCTGTTGTAACTGGCAGTTTTTCAAGAGGTTTCTGTTCTCTTCCCAGTCAAAAAGATGCCCCTTTGTTCGTGGTTTTTTTCGGGCAGGACTTTCTTTTTTTTTAAGTGTAATGTCTTTCCTTCCACTATTTTTTTTGCCCCAGGGAAAATGCAATGTTGCCTCATTAATCAACCTTACCTCATGCTTGTCTGGAGCGATGAAGTTCAGTTGGCAGTTTGAGTCATAGAGGATGGAGAAAGCAAGTTCGAGCACCTCCTACAGGAGATGAGAGGAAACACCACACGTTAGAGAAAACTGGCACCTCCGTCCTGCAGTTATAAACGGCTGCGGACTGAACATGGAGTACAGCTTACGCAGGGGTCCTCAAACTTTTTAAACAGGGGGCCAGTGCACTGTCCCTCAGACTGTTGGAGGGCCAGACTGCGGGCCCCGGGACGAGTTGGCTGCTAAGCAGGACAGGCAGCGGCGGCCAAAACACCCGGTGGGCCGGATAAATGTCCTAGGCAGGCTGCATGTGGCCCACGGGCCGTAGTTTGAGGACACCTGGAGCTTTACAGCGTGTCCCAACAGAGGAGAGGTGAGGAGGCTGATGGAAGGGAGGGGCTCGGTGAAGGTCACAGCATGACTCCTTCCACATGAGGGAGGTCTGCGTGACCATATCACTTAGTTCTCAGGACAGCACATGCAGCGACCGTCATCACTTCCCTCTCTAGGACGGGCGTACAGAGGTTAAACGGGGTCCAAGGCCACAGCCCCAAGCTGTGCTCTTCTTTCTTCTCCAGCATCTTCCTTCCCGGGAAGGCAGAAAAAACAGTAACCTCTCCCCTAATCAGTAGCATTAAGGGGTGATCTAACTTCTATCACCCCAAAACACAGTGGTCCATAGAGGTCTGAGCTTCCTAAAAAGTGGAAGCTACATTGGAGGTAAGAAGGCTTCTGAGTGAGCCCACTGTTTTTATGTCTATCCTTTGACTTTTCAACTACTACAGAGCAGTGTCTCCTCAGAGTCATGAGCTCATTCAACAAAGGCTGCAGCGGGGAAAAGAGAAGGGTGGACTCAAGTGATGGAACAGCTGAGCCGCGCTGGTCAGCACCTACTGGCAGCAGAGTGAGCCAGGCCCAAAGAACCAAAGACGAACTGATGCTTTGGTTTCATTGTCGCAGAAATGACCCTGCCAAGGCACTAAGTGTCATGTCTAGTGTGTTCGTGAACATGCTTCTCTAGCTGCACGTGCTGACAGTGCTGGGTATGGTGATCACTGTGTCTGGGCAGTCGGCACAGGATGAGTCCTCAGCACACATCAACACCCTAATGGCACCTGGTCTGCAGGGGAAGGGCCAGGCATATCCACACCAGCACTCCACACTGTTACCACAGTGTTACAGTGTACTTCCTTCTCTCTGCCTTTATTGGGCACCACTGATGACCTTGGTTACCCATGGCTGTGACCTGGGGGCTGCACTGCTCAGAGATTGCCCATGAGTTCTCCACTTCATTCTCTACCAAATTATCTGTCCGAGGATGTGTCTGGGGCCAAGTGACTCACAGCAAGAGTGGCCCAGAAACAAGACCATGGCAAGGAGATGAGGCCAGTGCCTCCAGATTGCAGAATTTCAGTTGGATTAAAGAATTCTTCCAAAGTGAACTCCACAGACCCACGTTAGCAGGATGCCTCTCCCAACCTGGTCCCTCCCCCAGCTATTTCTGGCTCTCGTGGAGTTTTTTCGTGTGCCTCGCTCTGGCTGTCCCACACTCAGAGGGGAAGCTCAGGTTCTCAGGCTACGCGTACCATTACCTCACATGCAAACAGACTCCTTACTCTGCCAGAAATAGAATCAAGTGAGGGGAAAATGCTGAGTCATGCAATAGGAGCGATTCTCCAAATATGCACTCCCGAGATTTCGCTCTTTCCTTCCGTAGGCTTCTACCCAGGCCTGTCCAAGAATAGAAAAGGAAGACCAGACAAACAAAAGAGAATTTTCCATTCGGTATGGCATCTGTTTCCATAACCATATTTCTCGAGTCCTTTAGTTTATAATTGTAATGGCATGCTTTTACCAGTGTCAACATAAATTGAAATTATTAAGAAAACCACCAAGGCAATACATATCAAGAACCAGCTATTCTGGGGCGGGGGGTGGGTGTAATTCTTGTAGAACATTCAAAAGCAAGGAAAAGTTAAATATTATCTGTAAGAACATAAGGAGAAACTAAATCTCTCCCTCTCCTACTTTGGGTATTAAAGAAATAAAAAATTAGCAACCCAAAGTCACGTATTTGTCCAGCCATTCAGTGGGGATAATTATGAAGATCTGACGTTTAGTGACGGGCAGGAGGAAGGCACACTTTGTGTACACCGATGACAGGAAGGAACAAGACTTACTGGGGGCAGACATGGAAGCTGGCATGTGAAAGGAAAATCACTATGTTGGCCGGGCACGGTGGCCCACGCTGGTAATCCCAGAACTCTGGGAGGCCAAGGCAGGTGGACTGCCCGAGCTCACAGGTTTGAGACCAGCCTGAACCAGAGTGAGACCCCGTCTCTAAAAATACCCAGGTGCTGTGGTATGTGCCTGTAGTCCCAGCTACCCAGAGGCTGAGGCAAGAGAATTGCTTGAGCCCAGGAGTCTGAGGTTGCTGTGAGCTATGATACCCTGGCACTCTACCAAGGGCGACACAGTGACAGTGTCTCAAAAAAAAAAAAAAAAGAGAGTCATTATGTTGAGGTGCTGGAAACGTTGAGGGCTGGGTCATACATCATTATTTCTTCTTTTCTTCTTAAAACATTTTTTTTCAGTGAAATGTTACTCTTTAATCTCATAAATTTATACAAACTGTCCTCGGGTTAGGAACACTGATAAAAATGATTTCTTTATTAGTCTGAGAGTCATTCATTAGGAAAACTCTCTTGACTTCTACTTGAGAGATGGGAAAGCAAGGAGAGGATGGACTTTGATTCTTAACAACCAGTCAGGAGCTCACTTGGCCCTAAGGGGCCCTTCAGAGGTAAGCAGAAAAGGTGAAATTCACCACCCCGCTCTGGGATGACTCTGGGGGACAAGTGCATCTTTGTTCAGGGACATTACATGAGGGATCGTCCCCTCACTGATGCTAACGGCCAGTGTGAACATCACTGCAGCCCAGACTCATGCTCTTGACTGGGTGCTAAAGCTACTAGAGACTGGAGTGCCACCGAGGTTACTGCTGTGACACTTTTCTCTGTTGCACAGGGACAGAAAAAGTAGCAAAAGGAGGGAGTGCACAGACCTGGGGCTTTGCCCTTCTACGTATATGTCATTCAAGATGAGAACAGTCAGAACTGTCATGACCTAGATTTCTGGTAAACACAGGCAGGAAACAGGAAATTTGTGAGGATGTCAATTCCCACTTTAATTTCTCCAGGGCTGCCTGGGAAAGAGTGGAAGGAATTAATTCTCTGAACCAAATGCCTGCATGTAGGGTGCTATTGCTCTCAGTGGGTTTTCTTGACATCTCCGGCCTGCTGTCATTGAGCCGCTGGTGAAGGTGAGCTCCTCAGCACCTTCAGCAGGCAGGCTGCAGCCAGGCGCAATGACACATTTTCGGCTAACACTCCAGAAGCTGCCACCTGTCCAAACTGCCCTTGAGGGAGAGAGTTGGGAGGTGGTTGTGGAGTACACTGCCACAGATCAGGGGCTGCTTGCCTCCACAGGCCGCTACACTCACTTACACAGCTAACACACTGGGGCTTTGCTGCTCACGACTCAAGGTCATTTATTCCTTCTGGATTTAAATCCGTGAAAAATTACATCCAAAGGCAACTTGTCTCTGTCCTGCGTTCCACTGGTGCATACCTGCCACGTTGTCATGTGGAGGAAGGCTCACATAGGCTGAGTTCTGGGGTTCTGGGGGACTGAATATCATTCCATGTCCAGGGCTGCTGACCACCCCTCCTCCACTCCCAGTTGACCTGCTGGCCCTGGGAGCAGTGACAAGGCATGCCAAGTCAGGAGATGTTCAGAGAAATGGTGCCTGGGTGTAGAGACTGCCTTCTTAATCGGTCCAATGATGGATTGACTGAATACAACAGTACAGTTTCATGTGACATATTCTTAGTATATAGTGTTGATGGGAATAAGTTTGGGAATAAGTTAGCACTTCTGGTCATTTTGCCCAGCATTCACTTAATTACGTTGGTTCTCGATCTAGCCATGTCGTCTTGAGGGCAAAGCATTTTGATGATTGACGCAGGCTATAACATGGCATGTGTGCCTGGGTGCTAACTGTGGTCACAGCAATAGCAATAGATCTCAGAGCTACAGTACACTGCTGCTCATCTGTAGATCTAAGAATAGAGATCTATTTTTTAGACAGCAAAAACCACTCGTTCATGTAGTACGTAATAGAGGAGATTGCCTTCCTTAGGCAGCTATAACTTTCTGGCCCCAATCTATCTTAGCAGGATTTTTGGCTAATAATTTCCCAGCCCACATTCTTCTCCCTGTCCCGTCTATCCTATACTCAGAGTTCAGTGTCCCCAATCAGGATGTTCGTCACATGTGGAAAGGCCCTTTGGCTTCATAGACCGTTCCTCCTCCTGGGAAGTCTTCTCCTCACTTCTCCTCCTGGCCGATTCTTTTCAGAAGCTAGGTCATGTGTTATTTTCTCTGTGAGCCTTTCTCAACTCTCCCAGGCTCCCTCTGGGTGTAAACTCGGGGGGCACAGATGTATTCAATTGTAACTGCATGTTTATATACAAACCTCGTCTACTGGACATCCAAGGACAAGGGCCAGGTCATATTTATCTTTGGGTTCCTAGCATCTGCCACAAATAAGATGAATGATAATGAATGAAGTAAACTTGAATAAAGTGCTTTTTGGTTAAGACCAGGGTCTTCAAGATAATGCTGGGACATTAGCTTCTGGTAGAATGTACTTCTCATTTCAGACTTAAGCAGCACACTGGAAAAACAAAAGCTTAAATCTGGCAAATGGGAAGATAGAAGTTTCTCTTATACCAAATATACTCCCATCTGAAGTGGTGGGAACCCATGAGACCTTCTCTCTGCTGATTACATGATGATTGTTCAACTAAAATCCCTGAATCCATTGAAACAAATACCAAGAACGCCCAACTTAAAACGCACAGCCACAAATCAACTTATTTTTATAAGTTATAGAGCTTGAATTTAGAATCCTGAATCCTTAAAAATAGAAGTCCTCCAGCTGAATCTCCATCTACTCATGAGAATTCTTTTCAAATCTTAGTCAGAAATTTTCTAATCTCTCTGTGAAGAACCCAGAACTTCTCGTCTCATAGAAATCTGCTGTTGCACTGATGTCTGTTAAAGACGCGAGGCTCTGAACCCCAGGAGAACAGAGTCACGTTTACATTCTACACCCAGAGCTCATCCTATGGCAGGCACTCAGTGCTGAGTGAGGGATTGACTGTGGACAAATGCCTCAAGGGAAAGGACCAGTTCCCTTCCTCTTCCTAGTCCCAGGGGCGTGGATAGTGTCAAGCACATCAGCAGACAGGGAATGGGTCAGAGGACCCTAATACTTTGCCATTAACAGAGTGTCTCCATAATGGATGCTAATGGCTCAGTTTGTCTTGCTCAGCAATTAAGCTAACCAGGAGTCCTGCAGCATAAAATGTCAGAAGCTGCTCCCCACAGACAGCATGCCTTGGTTCTTGCCCGCCCACTGTGCGCTGACAGACCTCCTATGGACACATTTTGGTCAACTCTCCTTTTAGGCCTCAGGTCTCCCCTTTCCTCCCCAAAAGTTCCAGGGGTCTGAAGGAGGGGGTCTCTAGAGTAGTGGAAAAAGAAATGTGGGGTGTGGGCGTTGAGGAGGGAGAACTGTGGCTTTCTTGTTTGCCTATAATGGTTTGCCTGAAATAGGTACATGAATACTATTAACACTGAAAGACAAGTAATTCCATGTATATGCAAATGAAAGCGCCAGGCTGGGGGAGATAGTGCCATTCTCACCCCTCAAGGCAGGAAGCCCAGGTGGCTACAACATCTGGAACAGTGAATCCCAGGAAGTAGCCTCCATCTGCAGTCTTACTTATCTGGTCATAGCAGTGTGCCCCATACATCCGTCTTTCATCCATCCATCCACTTTATCCATCCATCCAACCAGCCGACTATCCATCCATCATTAACCCAGCCATCCATCCATATTCCACTCATCCATCATTCACCCATCTATCCACCCTTCCATCATCCATCCACTTATCTGTCATCCACCCATCCGTCTATCATATACCCATCCATCATCCACTCACCCACTGATCATCTATCTACCCATCATCTGTCATCCACCCACCCACCCTCTAACCACCCATCTTTCATCTACCCATCCATCATCCATCCACCCACCATCATCTGTCCATCATTATCCATCTATCCATCATCATCCAACCATTTACTTTGTTATTGTCATGACAATAAGTAAACAACAACAACAAAAAAAGGCTGCAGAAATCATTTACTCAGTTGGTTTTCTTAGTCTCCTTTAAGGGAAGAGGAGTCTGATACAAGAAGCCCAAATACACCCACATGTATCATATGTTCAAATGAGATCATCATCTCTAGACCTATTTTGATAACTTGTGTCTTCTCTCACTTTTTCTCAGTTAGTTAAGCTAGAAGTTTACAATTTTATTAATCTTTCCAAAGAAGCAGCTTTTGGTTTTGTTGATTTTTCTCTACTATTTTCAGTTTCATTGATTCCCATTCTTTTTTTTATTATTCCTTTTCTTCTGTTTGCTTTAGGCTTAAATTGTGCTTCTTTCTTAGTGTCCTAAGGTGGAAACTTTATTGATTTTAGAGCTTTCTTCCTTTCTAGTACAGTCATTCAATGCTATCAATTTCCCCCTGAACACTACCTTCACTGCATCCCACACATTTTGATAACTTAATTTTCATCTTATTTAGTTTATAACACTTTGTAATTTCTCTTGAGACTTCCTTCCTCTTGGAGAGATGCGTTATTTAGAAGTGTGTTGTTAAATTTTTAATACATTGGCGGGATTTTCCAGCTATCTCTCTGCTTTTGATTTTTAGTTTAATTCCATTGTAATCTGAGAACACAGTTTGTATAATTGCTCTTCTTTTAGTCTATGAAGATGTGTTTTATGGTCCAAAAAGTGGTCTATTTTGCTGAATGTCTCCTGTGAATTTGAGAAGACTGTGTATTTTACTATGGTTGGCTGTGTTATTCTATTAATGTCAATTAGATCAAGGTGATTGAGGGTTTGGATCAAGTTATCAATATTCTTTTTTTTATTTTCTGCCTGCTTAATTTATTGATTACTGACAGAAGGATGTTGAAGTCTCCCATGTAAAAATGGATTTGTCTGTTTCTCCTTTTGGTTCTATCAGTTTCATTCATGATGCATGTATTTTGATGCCTCTGTGTTAAGTTCAGACATGTTTAAGATTCTTATGACTTTTTGGACTCCTAACTTTTCATGTTCCAGGGTGATGGTTTGCCTGTAACTTCATTTCTCTCTACTAGCTCCAAGAAAAGTTTCTGATTTCCACTTTGCTCAGCTTCTTCATACTATAAGGATGGGAGTGACAACTCTCAAGCTCTTTACGTGTTGGAGCTGAACCAGGAGGTCCCTCTATACTAACTTTACATGATTCTCTCTGTCCCTCCTTAACCAGCTTGAGTCCTGGCAGGCTGCTTTGCCTCCAGGTATCCCCTTCCTGGCCTTCTTTGGGGTACAGACTTCAGTTACTGCCATTTTCCCCATCTGGTTTCCTGCTCAGTTCTAAGTTATATAAATCCGAGGACCTCCTTGACTTGAGCTGAGCACAGCCAGTGTTTTCTGAGATAGTAGAAAGAACACCTGACACAGTGAGCATATGGTAATCCCTGCTGGTGTTGAAAAAAGTCTGCCCTACAAGAGGCAAACCGTGATAACTGGAGACTCAACTGTTATAGTTAAAGATGTGCCTCTGAAATCCACTGAGCCGTACAATCCCTGACTCCCCACATCATGGAGAAGACAGAAATGGAAACTCCATAGGTGCTGTGTAACAGAAAACTCATGGACCTTGGCTTCTTAGGCATGTCCTGACATTGCTATAGGTGGTAGGTAAATACCTTATGTGATAGTGTTGTGATGGGTTCAACAACAAAGGTTTTCCCATGGACTTGAGGTGAGTCATACTTGCATAACTTAAGAAGCAAAGACTTTGCAACCAGCCTCTGTGGCTGATCCTCTGTCCTCTGTCTTCCTGAACAGGACTTTCATAGTACTTTTGTTTAACAGGTTAAAGCAACCTGTTAACTTTTGTGACATGTGGGGTACCAAAATATCAGAAACACCCAGATAAATCTGGAGACTTTCATTCATGGATGGTATGCATCACAAGATGTCAGAGACATAACAAAAATTGGCTCTGTGATGGCCCCTCCAAGGGAAAATACCTTCCTTCTTTTCAAACAATGCCCTTCCCATACCCTCTGTATTAAGATAGTTGGTAAACTAGGAAGGGAAGTGAAAAGTATTGCACTGTGAAGCAAACCAGGCTGTCGTACACCTCGGGGGAAATGCCCTCCTTTAAGCTGAGTTTGAGATACTTTGTGGCCTACTTTTCACAATACTTTTCAGGCTTTAAAAGTTCTATAATTCTCTGAGTCAATTTCTCTCTGCCCGTCCCAAGCTTCTCTGAGCCCCCAGGGAGTGTGATAAGGGGGTAATCACAGCAGGAGAAAAAAAAAATGAGATGGCGGTGGAAGTTGGAGAAGGGAGAAACGAACTGACATGGGGGATTAGGAGAAGCCCAGAGCATAAGTGGAGATGAGCAGAGGAGGGTGGAGAGAGGACAAGGTGATAATAACCAGAGGGCAATTCCTAGGGTTGGAAAGAGAAAGTGAGAGAGTGAGAGAGATGGTGGGAATTAGAAAAGTGAACAGGGAGAGAATGGATAAGGGTAAGTGGTGATGCAAAACCAATCAGGAAAGGAACACTGAGTAAGAGATACATGACCACACACACACACACACACACACACACACACACAGAGCTATACAGGAGGGCTGGGCCAACTGCAGTCACTGACTGCATTGGGCAAATAGAGCTATTTGCAATAATTTGGAAATCATACCTTGTTTTGTTTAAGGGCACCTTTCTCTTTCATATGAGGGCAGTCCTTTCCCGTCACCACCGCTTTGATATCTGCCACCGGCACTGCAATTCATAACAGAAAATGAAAGTAACTACACCATGTGAAAGCTTTGATGTCAATAAAGAAACAGGACCAAGCACTGAGTGTGCTACCACAGCTGCCATTCCCAGAAACCACTCCCCCAAGAGCAGAGTGGTAAAAGAGGAAAAGAAATCAAGTGGAGTTCCAGGACTGGAAACAAAGATAGACTTTAATATTCTGGCATAAAACATCCCTGGGGAGAAAAAGCTTGCTTATTAGCAGAGTTTGGTTCACCAAAAAAAAAAAAAAAAAACAAACAAAAAACCCAAGATCGTAGTGTTCGAAGTGCTGGCATTAGAAATAAGAGTGCTTGTAATAGTAGCAGTGGTACTAACACCGATATTCCAGAAAGCTTCTGTGTGTCAGGAGCAATGCCAAGTGCTTCCCACATATCAGTATCTCTTGCTACAGCGTCGGCATCTCTATAGCTTCTGAGGTTTGGATAAGGAGGGAAAGAAGCCCTATCTTAAAAAACTTATCTCAGTTCTGAACTCTCACTCTCCAAAATGTCTCTCTCTGCCATCTCATTAATTCTCACAACATTTTGGTGAGGCAGGTTTTATTATTCCTATCTTACAGACAACAAAACTCAACTCAATTAAATAAAGGGAACATTCCTTTCTGATAGGGGACTGTGAAAATAACGCAGTTGGACAAAACGATGTTATCTCATGTCTTACTCAGAAGTTAGAGGAAGATAAGGAAAGCTACGGGAAGGACTGTGCATTTAAAACTTTTACAAAATCAAGAGAGAGAGAAGACAGTAGGATGGTTTGGAACCTTAATTGAAAACAGTGTAACATCATTGGTTCCTCTTTAATGCCTAAGCCTTCAGTCCCACAAGGAGTAGTGATTCAAGGAGCTCACACTGACTGGTATAGATTTCTGAAGGTAGGAATTTAGGCTTTGTTGAAGTGATCAATTCCTTAGATTCACTTAATGATGGAGATAATGAGATATTTCATAGTTAAAGATAGAATGTACAACATATTAAAACAATAGATCAGGAAAGCCCCCTAAAAGCTAACATTTTCCTAATTTGTTAACACCCTTAGAGACTTCTCTAAGGAGAATGGGGTTGTGATGGGCCTTTGAGGAATCTCTACAGGCTCCAGTGCCATCTGACCCACCACATCTTGCACCCTGATTCCACACCCTTTGGGTAGACATTTCGTGTGTTCATGAGTACAACTCCCAGTAACCATTGCAGTTTGGTGGGGATCATGTGACTGGTTTTGACCAATGAAATGTGAGAGGAAGTGCTTCTTTTTTAGACTGAGGCATCCTCTATTTGTTCTCCCCAGGTACGGAAACTGAAGAGGCCACATGTTCCATCCAGGAGGCCCAGCTGTGGGATGTAGCTGCTTAGCCATCGACCTGTGTTCCTGAGTGACTGTGTGGAGAAGTCCCTTACCAGCCTATGTAAATCATGTCATGTGAGTGAGAAATAAACTTCTGTTGTGCTTAGCCACTGAGACATGGGGATTGTTTGTGTGGCAACAGGGAGCAAGGCAGCCCCTTCACCTCAGCTTTTTGGCTTCTCTGCCTGGTCCCATTTGGATTGGCATCTTCCTGTAGAGGCTCTCTGTGATTCCTGAACCTACCTTTGACCATGAACACTGACATCAGTTCTCCTTAAATCCATTTTCATAAGCGTGGATTGGCCTTGTTCCCCTTAGTGGCTGACCTGGCTGTCCAATCACTACCCTAGGAGGGGACATTTGGGCACACTAGGAAGTTGGTTAACTTTTCAATGGAAAAATCCACCATTGAAGTGAGTTTGTGATAAAATTAGCAAATCCATTCAAAAAACCCTCAAGCTTCAAATAGAGTCTGAGTCACAAGTACCTTGTAGAAAGCCTTTCGTCATAATAGATAACACGGTCAATGAACTAGAGCAGGTCCACAATCTACAAGCAGTAAATTATCCTTTGGCTTTGAAACTCATCATGTGGAATGGAAAAAGAGGAATACCAAAGCCTGTCATGGGGGCCATCCTCAGGATCTCTAATGGAAAGGCTTCGGGGGGAGAAAAGGCACTTTTTCCACTGGCTTTCTGGCAGTATGTATTTTATGTTTTTTATATGCATTGTCCCCTCTCTCAGAGACAAGCTGCTATATCACTCATAGGATCAAGACTAAAAAGAAAACACAAAATTCTAAAAATACAGCCTAGCTTTTAAAGGTTGCTTTTTGCATAGTTTGTCTCTACATGTGCCAGAAGATCCGACACTGGAAGGCTCAAACGCTGTCCTCTCTGTTCTCAGGGGCAGAGACAGAGGGGCATGCTTGCATCTCTTGAATCACACTTTAAGGAGGCAGCAGGGGGCTCTTGATGATTTCAAAGGCAGGCTAGCATTTGGATCAGCCCTTTTTATCTCAAGGAAGATAAAGAAGTGTGGTCCAGAGATGAAGACCAAAAGGGTTCCCTGGCGATGGAAACACCCACACTTAACCTCTGGGGCATGTCCTCATTTCTTTCAATGCTTATTTCAGTTTGGACTGGTTTAAGATGATCTTGATTCAGTACTCCCATTTTACAGATGAGGAGACTGAGGTCTAAACACGGGCAATCGATTATGCAATGTCACACAGCTAGGGGCAGTGCTGGGCTTAATGCCCTTTCTCCTACTCCATGTTAGGTCACAATTTCTCCCTATCCTTGGAAGGTGCTGGTGCCCCAGATCAGGCTAAGCACACCCCTAAACATGGTTTAATTGTCCTTCTGCACTGGATCAGGGTTAGTCTTTTCCTGGGAAAGGAGGAGTGAGGCACACAGCCTGCACTCTTTCAAAGGGAGGCAGTGGGGCATCTGCCCACGCCACTGCTGGACAGCACTGGAGTCCAGTGCTTAGTGGGGGTGATGACAACCTGTAAACCTGGCAGGAGGGATGTGGGGCAAGAGTGGATGTGAGGAGATATGACCTTTCAAGGGCCATATTTCCTGACAACAAAAAGTAAATGAGAAGAGAGATTTCCTAAGCTTTGGAGGAAGAAGGCAGCTAGGGAGAGGCTCTCTGTTTTCACTCACTATAGCTGTATTATGATGACTTCATTACACTGTGTCACTTATCAGTATCTTGATATGCAGCACCGAGTAACGGAAGGTGGAAGATGGTCTCGCCCTTGGTCTCAGGAGAGGGCAGTGGTACATGGCAAGAGCAAGGGCACTTAGCATTAATTAAAAAGATGTCTCATTTGTCCAGTGTTATAAGGTCTCTGACTTTTAAAGGCTCCAAGAGAGTAGCTATTTTGCTGTGGGCAGAATGTGGAATTGAAATTAAATGTAAACCGGGTAGCAGATCTGAAGTAGCGAACTTCAGTTTCCCAGGCCAGGGCCTTCTTGCCTCCACCATAGTACAGCTTCATTTCCCTCCATCACGTGATGTGGAATGTGCAGGAGGATTCAATCCCGCCAACACACTCACACACGCACCCTCCACACGCACACATCCGCATTCCTGGATCATCTTGCAATGGATAAACTGTCCATGGAGCAGTTCTTTGGTACTTCACGGTACTACATTTCAAAGGCCACAGAGGAAAGGGGCAGATAAGAATTTTGGAGGCACTGTCAAAGAGACTGCCACAATCCTCTTCCAGAACCAGTGTCGCTCAGAGGCCACTGACAAAAACTATGTGGAGATTTGCAGCTCGGGCCTTGTCCTCCTGCAACCACCCTAGCAAAACAGCTCTCCCTGGCATTACCACTCCAGGTTCCTGCTTATTTTTTTATGCTGGGGTCTGGAAGGTGAGGCCTTCAGTAGGGTTGGCGGCCATCAGCTTGTAGGTAAGCCACTGAACTGCCCCTCCACTAGGCCCCACTGCTACCAGGCACTTGAGATGTCTCTAGGAGCAGGGCTGCCAATTTCCTAGGCAACCCGGCCAGGTAGCGTGGGGGTTCTTCATTCACAGCTGGAAAACCCACTAGTCTCATGCCTATCCTTGAGTTGAGAAATGGATTGCACTTTTATAAACATGGGGGTAATGCTAGCTCCCTAGCTCCAGTGAAGGAATGAGCCAAGCTGTTGTTCCTTCTGTCCTGACCTCTTGCCCTCTTGTCAGGCTGAGAACAGGACACAGAGGACCTCCCGGACAGCTGCTGGTTGCTTCCACCCACAGTCATCTCTAAGTCTTTTCATTGAACAGCTGCAAAGCAGTGGTTTCACATCATTGGCCCTGAGCAGTCCCTAGTTCAGGAGGGAGTTTTCACCAGTGAGTTTTCACTAGTTAATCGCAAATGTAGGAAAATGAGGATGCTGAGATTTTATAGAACAAATTCCTCAGAAGGGATTTCCTTTTGTTCCAAGAAGAGGTCCTTCTTACCTTTTTTGCTTTGTGGTCAAGAGCTTCCCTTTTAATGAAATAACTGCGGTATTACATTTTAATTAGAATTTATTTTTTAACATCCTTTTTTTTTTTTTGCCAAAATTAAAAGTTGGCAACACACTATCAATCACTGAAAAAAGTACTTATTGGTGAAAGCTCCATTTGGGGAAATGACTATGTGGAGTATAGAACAATATTCAGCTTTGCTATTCTGAAGCTTGCATGCACATCTGAATCGCCCAGGGGGTCTGTTAAAACAGAGATTGCCGGTCACCACCTGCTTAGTTTTTGGTTCAGCAGGGATGAGAGTAAGGTCTGAGAATTGGCATTTCTAATGAGTTCCCAGGTGATGCTGCAGCTGATGGTCCCGGGACCACACTTAGAGAACTGTGGGTTAGCCTGTCGTGGTGGGATGAAGAGGCTTTCTGAACTCTGGAGGGAGGGTCCTCATCTCCCAGGGCAGCCATGGACAGAACTGCCCCAGCCTCTGTGCAGCCGTGCAGTTCAAATTTGTTTCTCCCCCAGTTAGGGAGCCAATAATGTGGGATAGGGAGGCAGATCTCCCGGGAAAGGAGATGAGAGCGTTTTCTGAACTAAATGACACTACAAAGACTAGATTGTCCCATTTTTTAAGTTGGAGGAACAGAGAATGTTCCAGGCTGTCTGCCTGAGATGTCAGCACAGAGTCTGACTGTGTCAGGAAATTTCCCACTCATGGTTTATTTTTGCCTTCGATGGCTATGAGCGGTAAGGAAGGCAGTCCAGATTTGACTCCCATGGGTGGGGTAATGGGAGGGAAGGTGTGAGACTCTGGTCAGGACTCCATCTGGGACACACTTACCTGAACACCGTAGGGTCAAGGTAATTTTAAAGGTATTTTAAAAGCATTCTGATTATTTTCTCCCTCTGGTTTTTCTGTCTAGTATGTCCTTTGAGACTATTTTATTTCACTTCTCTTCCAAATCAATTGTGTATTTCAATGTTCCTATAATATTTTGTTTAATTTGTACACTAAGCAATGTCAAAAAACCTGGCACCTGGTTTGGTGTTGATCTAAAAGAATCCTGCACATACTGCTACCTCAAAATCATGTCTGTTAGGACAGATAACATGCAGAAAAAGCGAATCAACATATAGTAGAAACTCCATACCTGACCACCTGCCTACATGGACCACCTCCTTAAGCTGATTAATTTTCACAGACCGGATATATGCCACATGTATATCAGTACGGTAGGTGTAGGTCCTTTTGTTGACCAGTTAGTTACAGTCCCTTGGGTGGTCGAGGTTCTACTGTATTTGGAGAAATATTTAGCAAACGGTTCAATGTAACTGAACATAAATTGTTAAAGTGTCCTAGTGACTTCTCTGAAGTAAGCTAGAAAGGTATTTGGATCTGCCATGAAGTCTGTGCTATGATGACAGGATAAAACAAACTGTATGAACGAATGTGGTAGGGCAGGCATGCGAGTCCTGTAAAATTATTTGGGGTCATCAGGAAAAGACAATTGACAGAAACAGGTTTATGCTGGTTTTGTTCCTTGAAAAAAATCACCTGGGTAAGTCATGTAGAAAGCAGACATTTGAACCCCAAGTGTAGGTCTTCCAGGAAAGACACCTGAGCATCCTTTTTATGTTCTTCCCTGTTCAGTCCCAAACCCCAAGTCCAGCCAGTTCTTGTGCTGATCAGAATAACAGACAGCCAAAACTCAGGCCTCCTCCACTTACGTTTGTCCTGCAAGGAATCGTGGGGCACTTCTCCCTGAGGACTTTCCTCCAAGTCTCCGTAGTGCAGGACCTTGTGATTCGGTGAAAGCCGGCAATACCAAAACTTGTCTGAGGGAAAAAAGTTTACAAGGTAAGTGACTCTGGTTCCCAAAAATATCAGCATGGTTATTTCCTAACACTCTTGCCTGGAGGAACAAATAACTCATTTTATTTTAAGTCTTGAGGAAGAATGTATTCCAGGACACTGGGCAGCTCAGCCCAGTTTTGAGCTTGATACTTAGACGCACATTTGGTAACCATCAGAAAGTCATCAGATCCTTGAAACTCCATGGCAATAGATTTTATGAGGTGGTCGTTTTCAGAGGGTTTTGGATTAGTATTTATAACCGCCATGGGAACTATTCCTTGTTCACTTAGGCCTGACAGAGTGGGAGGGAGATGGAGAAAAAATAGTTTTCTTAGAACTTTCCTGCTTCCATTTTCCTCTCTGAGATTTCAGACTGTGAAATTGTCGTGGACAAGACACAGTTGACATCACAACCCCCGACCTCTGAAGTCAACACAAATTAATCAATGAATGATGCACAAAGGGGTGATATTCATGGGGAACTCGTCTAAATAAGGCAGGGATGTATCCAAAGACTGAGGATATTCACACTCTTCCTCTTCCCCAACTCCTAGAATTGAGTTCTCTGAATAGGAATGACCAGGGCCTCAGGATCATTGTATTCGTATAAATAACTTCCTCAACCTTATCCTCTCAGTTTCCCAAATGTACTAATATCTATTCTGCATAAGTCTGTGAGGCAGGGAGAAGGAGGCAAAGAACACTTTTGTAACTAGAATTGTGATAGCAATGTCTGCGCAGCTCCCCAGGCTCAGTTCAGATGTTGCCTCCTCCAGGAAGCCCTCTGTGATCACTACAGCTGAAAAGCCTCTCCCCATCCTCTGTGCAGCTCTACCATCATCTCTGTGCCACTCAGATGTCTGGTATTGACATTATTGGTACCCACATGTTAAGTACCTTAATATTCCCCCTTAAAGATCCTGCATGACAAACTTTGCCATAGTGGGTGTATTGTGAACAGTTATATTGATGGAAGAAGAAGACTCCAGCCCTGACAGTGTGGAAAAGGCAGGGTCTTTCTGAGGACAGCCCCATCTTTAGTGTCCCAATTCTTTGGCATATTTCCTGACACCAAAAGTTGCACAGTTGGTGTTGGCTACGTTGATAAAGGAAGACCCAATGGGACTTGGTCAAAATCCCTAAAGCTAAAGCACAAAGCATCCATCACCCACAGCTTTTTTCTTTTTTTAACCATTAAACAGTTGGCATACTCTGCGGCCTTGGCCTGCTTCATTACTACGCCTGAAACACAAACTGTTTTGAAACCAACCTGACCAAAAAGCTCTTCGTTGCCTTTTAAGAAAGGTGGCTTTCTATCTAAAATTCCTTTCACTGCAAAATCATGTTTTAACTACAGAGTTCTCTTATTAGGAAAGAAGTTTAAAGCGTGAAAGTAAAAGCTGCACAGTGAGCAAAGAAAATGCCCAAATTTGGTCCACAAAATGAACGGTCTCTGTGATCTCCATCTTTGTCATCTTTAAACAGGGTTAGAGAATTCTTGAACGTAGTCATGATATGGCAAAATGTGTTTAAAGGGATCTGAAATTTGGCAAAAAAATTTGAGAGAGATCAAAAAGGGCCATCAAATAGCTAGGAATACATTGGGAGTGGCTGCATTTTCATGATTATGTTATACACCTCCAATGGGGGTGCTTTTTGTGGTAGAGAATTTCAACGGGAGAAAACAAAGTTAGTCCCTGAGTAGTTCACAGCCATTTTCTTAATAATTAGGCAAATGTGTGATCATTGCTTTTTCTGTAAGGAGACCACATTCAGGAATTTGACTTGCAACTCACAATAGGAATTATGAATTCTAGAAGAGAAGGCCATGGTTTTTCGGCATCAGCAATGCTCTTGGGTCCAGGCCTGGCAGGACACGGGAGCTCCTTCTGCCCACAGGTTCCTGTCCCCTGGTGTACATAGCTGTTATGAGCTCAAAGCCATGTGGAGAAATTTGCTATAAACTGTACCTTCCCCTGCTGCCACAGAGGGGAGATTTCTGGCTAAGTGAGTGACTGAAGGGTGACAGAGGCTGGGAAGGAAGTCACTGAGATGTGGCACTTAGATGTGCTGGGCTTATTTTGAGTACTTCATAGGAATCCTTTGTTTCGCAAGCTGGGGGTAAGCTCCAGGACTTAGCAGTGGTACCTGAAACCTGAGTCAGTATGACACAATCAAAGACCAGTTATACTCAATGGATTTTCAGCAGAAAGATTAAGAAATTTAACAGGTACACAGTATAAAACAAATAGATATATCATGGAGTAAATCATACAACTTATTAAGTATAAGATACAATAATTTGGCTTGGCACCTGTGGCTCAAGTGGCTAAGGCACCAGCCACATGTACCTAAGGTGGCGGGTTTGAATCCAGCCTGGGCCTGCCAAAACAACAATGATGGCTGCAACCAAAAAATAGCCAGGTGTTGTGGCGGGTGCCTGTGGTCCCAGCTACTTGGGAGGCTGAGGCAGGAGACTTGCTTGAGCCCAGGAGTTGGAGGTTGCTGTGAGCTGTGATGCCATGGCACTCTACCCAGGGCAACAGCTTGAGGCTCTATCTCAAAAAAAAAAAAAAAAACAAAAAACAAAAAAAAGATACAATGATTTGTAAGGCTTCAAAAAATCTTGCTGCTTATACTTTCAGGATAAATTTGTTTATCCAGTGAATATTTGCAGGGCGTCTGCAATCCACACAGCACTCTACCAGGTGTGGCAAAAAATCGTTAGAATGAAAGGCTGATGAGAGACAGGGCCAAGGTTCAGGACAAGGGGCTCCCTCAGCTAAGAGAAAGATGTGGTTTCCAGGTCTCAGAAGTAGGGACAGGAACAAGTCAGCAACTCTGGCTATTACTACAGGGAAAACTAAGAGAAGGGAAGGTCTCCCAGGCAGCATATTCTTAGATTCATAGACTATTAGAGAACTGTGGCTATTTATCAGGGTTCTGGGGCAAAACAGCCATCTTCCTTACAAAGTTGCCACCAAAGGCCACTTGGAACCCTGTCATAACAGTATCTGGTATGGACTTGACAGAATGTCCTCCTCTCAGAACCTCAGATTCCTTTGACGTATATGATGCCGCCCTGCCCTGGTTTCCCCCTACCTCTGGCTCATTCTTCTCCTATCCTATCCAAGTTCTTCTTTCTCTATTACTAAAATGGTAAATAACAAAAAGACCCATATGTCACTGGTGTGAGTGACGTGTTCAGTTCCTGCTTGTCAAATAGGAAGTCTTAGATGGATGACAAAATATTGGGTAAAGGGACTAAAAAGGCTGAGAAACTTGTCTTGACGCATAACTAAACAGGGTGCGGGGGGTCCTCAGCCTGGCTCTTCCTCAGGGTAAAAGCTTGAGTCCTTGGCTGTGGAAGGTGTAGAGGTTTTGTCTCTGTTTTGAAGGGAAAGCTGCTAAGCCAGCGAGCACAGTCGCCGGCTCCAACCAGCGCAGCACCCCGACGTGTTTGTTAGGCGAGACAGTTTCATTGTCAGCCACCGGCAGTCATTTGATTTGCAGTTTCTTTTATGGCAAGAAAAATATGTATTTTCCTTCCCACCCAGCGTGATGTTACTAGTTCTTCCCTCCCTCTGGGCAATGAACGAGGAATTGCGTCACTAAAAGCAATTAGCAGGAAGCAGTGAGAACATTATCAAAGATTGTTTACTAGCAGTCAAGGAGAAAATAAGAGTTAATATGGAGGTCTTCCAGTCAATTACAAACGAGAATACGTTAACAGCCATCTTTAGGTCCCCAAATTCAAATCCGAAAATATGGAGACAATTTTGTGTTTCAATTTTTCTCTTCCTTTCTCTCTTTCTTTCTGCCTCTGTGTGTGCCTGTGTGTAGATCAGAGGAAAAGCTGGTTTCAGAGCTCAGAAGCCTTGGAGGAAGGGTTGATTAAAGCTATCTCCAATGTCACATACATCACTGTACAGCCAACAACCATCGACAACTATAATTTCTGCAGTGCTGTATTCAACAGAACTTCCTACAATGATGGAAACTCTCTACATCTGCTTTATCCAATAATAAGGAAACAAGTCTTAAATTTTCCATCATTTTTATTAATTTAAATAGCCACATGCAGCGACAATGAACAGTGCAGCTCAGTATCTGTCTGTACCATCCAGGCTGAAGGCAACACATTTAGGGATGGCCACTAGGTCTTTGGGGAAGACCAGCAGGCTGAATAATAGCTACTATTGGTGCTGTGAGATGCAGGTCAGTTCAGCAGGGTACAGCCAGAACCACATTCTGATGGACTGTGCTGTGGAAGTAGGAGAACACTTTCATTCTGAGTGGAGGGTCCACAGTTAGAAGCTGGCTGCTGACCGACAGGGCCTTGAGAGCCCTGTGTTAGGAAGTCCGGGCAGCCTTTTCTAAAGGATGCCTGAGAGCACGGCCATTACCATTTTCCATTTTTCCAAGGTTAACCTAAAATGGGCCAAGGATGCTGAGGAGAAGGTCCCTTTGCTGCGTAAGTTTGAAACTGTCCTAGTTACAAAACCAGAGGACCCCTTAAAATGTGTTTAAAGGGAAATGTCATCTTCCCAGGTGAGGTGATCCAAGATTTTTTGTATGGTAAAGGGAAACTATAGCTATAGATACAGATGAAGATCATTCTGACTTTCAAATCTTTCTCATCTTACTGGGCTTCTTTTCATAGCCAGAAACTCATTTGGTTTTAGAATTCTGCCTCCCTGGACACAGGTGTTCATAGCACATCACTCCAGAGCTCTCCTTTACTTTTAATGCTGACTGGCCTAACAGATGCCTTGGAGTCACACATCTGGCCCTGACACTAATTAGCAGTGGTGCCTTGGCCTAAGTATAAAATCCTTAGGGGTCTCTGATTTTCATTTAAGTCATGGTCATAATTTTTTTTTTTATTAAATGATGCTGTGTTTTTATTTTTTATTAAATGATGATTAAATGATAGCTGTGTATATTAATGCAATCATGGGGTACAGTGTGGTGTTTTCAT